AAAAAAAAAAAAAAAAAAAAAAAAAAAAAATCAGAAAAACTTCAGAATGGCTAATAAAAAAATGTCAACAGTTTTATACAATATTTCATTAATATTAATTTTGTAAGATGTTTGTATATATAATTATTCCCAATTTTGAATATTTAACCACAATAATAATAAAATGCTAGATCTAGAGAATATGTCTTTTAGTGACAAAATCTTGAGTTACAATAATTAGGTCTTGAAACTGTTAAGGAGAACCATAATGATCTATATAGCTACAAATAGCTCAACTTTATTTGTATTTTGGTTGGCAGGGGTGGAGTTGTAATGTTTTGAAGCATACCTAGAGGTGCTGGTGCTTGAAAAAAACTCTCTCATGGATTCAATGCAAAACAATACAGTAATATCTAATTACGGTGATTTTATTTGACCCGTGAAAGAAAATGACTACTTATAAAACAATGGATCTTGAGTCTACTACTCACAAAAAAAGAAAAAGTAAAAAAAATATTTATCAAGATTAACAAATGATAATAACGTATATAAAAAAGCATATAAAAATTCTTAAACGTAAAGATGATGAATGTTTATTAAAACCTAACTTTGTCATTAGATTTCTAAAAGTTCTAATATAATTGTCCAACATTTTTCCATTGTTTGGTAGGGGATTCCACAATTTGGCAACAGTAAAGGATCAAGATTTTAATCTATATGTGGTTGTATTTAAATATATACCCACCCTCCTTAATACAATATATTTATTATTCATTACTTCAACATAAGATGGCGGTTGTGGTGGGATTTTAACACAAATAGACTCTGTGCAATAACTTATTTTTAGAAAACATCACATACAAACGAACTCGCATCACAAACAAAACAAAACAAAGAAAAAATGGGCGGAGAAGGAAAATAATGGAATATTATTATTTTAATAAGTAGAAGAATCTGATTAAATCTAAAAATGTGTACAATTAATTTACTCATAAAACTTCTAGCTYTAAATTGTACAATTTTGGTTCATAATAATTGAGTATGAAAATGATCCATAAATAATCACTCAAAATAGGATATCAGTTGAATCATACTAACGCTACAAAATATATTAACATAAGTGGGTTAGATTTATATCATTCACGAATAAAAAGAGAGTACTGGTAATGTAATTTTATGAAGCCCATATTCAGCTTCATTTTTTCCGAATATGACTCATAACTAAGCTTATTCAGCACGTGGGTTGAAAATTCTCAAAATTCTCGTTCAAAGAAAAAGGAATTTATACGAGGCTTTTGAACGACAGTTACGTACATGAAGTTATTATGCTATTTTATCGTTGTAAGAATACGATACAAAGTACATAAAATGTATGAAGGTTTGAGAAGAACGAAGAACAGGGAACGATGAGGTCATGTTCGTACTTTTTGCGATAGAAAATGTTTCGGGAAAAAAATATTTTCTGTACTTACTGTTGGCCATATCACCAGCCATTTTATACTTGGTGACTACGACATCTTCAGCTATTGTGGGTTCCTCTTCTTCGCCGGATTCGACGCCTTTATCAGCCATAACTTTTCGAAGTTTGAAGGAAGACTTTGATAAAGAACTGTACAAGATGGCGGAACTGCACGTGTGACTCAGGTTACCCAGGGTACACTGCTTCCCGCGGAAAATCCACATATATTGGGAGGGAGGGGAGGGAGGGGAGGGTGAGTAGGGTTTGATTGAAATACCACCACAGAAAGCCCAACCATCACATTTTCTTGGAAGTGGCTTAAAAAAAAAAGAAAAAAGAAACAACAACAACACAACAACAACAACAAACAAAAAACAAAAAGAACAAACATGCAGAAGCCCTGGGGGGACATTTCAGACTTAGGATATTTCAGGCTTCGGACTTAGGATGTTTCAGACTTGTTCGGACTTCTGGCAGACTTCGGATCCGAAACGAATAAGCGGTAAGTTCTTTCTAGACTCATCTTTTTTACTAAGTAAAAAAAAATCTATGAAGCTTTGGCTGTTACATCACAGCGCGGGACAATCACAACAACCGGAGAACGCGGGGAAAAACCCTCGAAGCACAGGAGAGAACCAACAAACAACTCTACAAACAAACAAACAATTAACAAAATAAAAATAACAACAACAAAAGAAAAAAAAACGCGCAAAGCAAGTTTTTTATCTTTTGAATAAATGTTTAAAAAAAAATCCTGTCGAAAGTTTTCCTCAGGGATGAAAAATAATCTCAATATTGATTTTCACTAACCTCAACTGATTCTGCGTGTAAAGACAGGTCGTTGCTTGGTTTTTAAAAGGCATCCCACATGGAAAGAATTGGCCATGGAGGCTAGGCCATCAGCAACATAAGTCTGAATTTGGGTCTGCTGTTCATAGCAAGGGGTTAATCATCTACGGTCTAGGGGCCGACTAACCTCTCCCTTAGGCTTCGGCCGAGCTTCCTGATCAGTCTGTAAATCCAAGGATAGCGGTGTCGGGGTCGAAATCTCCGGCGTAGCCGTAAATGCTTCGCGCTGCCATACGACGGTTCAGCATTCGATGTCTGGAAGTATGGTCCTGACTTTCAATTATATTATTAAATGGTAAAGCTGCACCTAGTCACATATATAAAATGTACCAAGGTTATTCGATTTGCACGAGCCTAGATATCCTTTCTTACTTTGAACAGCTATGAAAATAATAGACCGATCCCGGCTATGCTCGAGTATCCACCCAAATAACGCAAAGTATTAATTCCCAGTTAAATAGAGAATGTCCGACCAACAAACTCCCAATTCATAAGATTCTTCTGTAGTTATTGACTTTTTTCTTAGTGTGGACACTCGAACCATGAACACTTCAAGAGATCTTTAATTTTTTTWATAACTATCCAAATCACAGATCTCTATATAAACAAGGGAGTCAAACATTTTTGAGGCGCCATCCAATCACAACAAATGTTTTATTTTTAGCTCACGAACCCAAGACGAATGGTGAGCTTGCAATGATGGACACACCGACATGCGAACAATCACACCGACATTCGAGCAATTTGTTCAAGGTGTTATAAAAAGTTCTCTATCATTGCAATCTCACCCGTTCGTCTTGCTTCGATGCAAAGGCATGGCTACCTTTCAAGATGGCGCAGTAAACTGTGAAAGGGGCTATTGCTGTCTAGTTGTTCCATGCTGTATATCAAAAACCCATTTTTAGCTTGTCTGACGTAGCAACAGTAACTAGGGAGGATGAACAATGAATGCAGGATCGGTGTATTAGTAACTATGCCCGCTTGAAGGACTGCAATAGTACAGTAGTGCAATCGAAACATAGCCGGCGAAACCCCACAATGCAAAGACACTTTTCTTCCAAGCTCTTTTGGTTAGAATTAGGATATCAAATAATTCCAGTTCTTTAGGTAAAACAAACAAACAAACAAACAAATGTAATATTTTCAGAAAAAATATTATTTATTTGAACCATTTTTATAATGTCCTATTCGTCATTCATTCGAAAAAAGGTAAGATACCTAGTGACTGCGAGTCAAAAGTAAAAACAACGATAAAAATTATTTTAAGTCCCCTGAATTAATACAAGAAACAGACTAGTAATGTGCGGCAAGCATGCATTTTCCCATGTCATAATACCTTTCGGATCCCAAATTCATTCTGCTAATATTTTCAAAGTAACAAAGAAAAACCTGAAAGCTTCAGATCAAAAAACTTTGGACCGGAAATACGTCACAACTTTAAACTCAAGTGCATCATGGGATATCTTACAAAAAATTGGCGCCTTTGGCATTGATTAGAAATCCCATACTGCTTAGCACATCATGATGAAAGCGTCTATAATTAATACTTCCTCTTCTACCCCGTATTTTTTTTCCTATTCTATTACTGTAATTTCATACGCTTTTCAGAATTTCTGCGACCAAGACAACTTCAGTTGCACATTTTTTTTGTGGTGAAAGAAGTCATGACCTAGGTATCTAAAAGCTTTAGAGGTCACAGAAATATTCATTAAAAAGGTATACTTTTCTTTCTCTCACTTTCAAATTGTGAATTGTTTCAGCTTGAAACAGGTCGAGCCTCAGGCGACCCCTGTTTGCTATTTTGGCCGACAAATCATGCCAAAAATGATATTTACATTTATGATTAAGGCCGCGAGAGATTGTGCGTAATTAATTCTAACTAGCTAGGTTTAGAGGATGATTTCGTTTTTGTAGCATTGGTTGAGTTCTTTGTGAGGCAGAACGATAGAGTTTAACACGACGAGTTCTGGGCCTATGGACACATTGCGACCTGGAAAATAAAAAATAAATAAATAAAAAAATAGATAAAAATATTGAATGAATGAATGAATGAATAAATGGATGGAGGGATGGCTGTCTTACAAGTAACAACAAGTAGAACCATGACTGCGTTTTCGCCAGTTAGACCAAGAATGTCTTTTCTCATCGATAATATACTAATAGTCATACTATACTTTCACATAATATCTCCTTCAGGAAAGCGAAGTCTCCATTTCAAGCTATCCAGCACAATAAATGTGACGAGTCAATAGTGTGACGAGTATCTGTCATGGCGACCGGTCACGTTTTGGGAGTGCTCCCACTCTTAGGATATTTTTACGTTTTATCGAGTTTACTGGTACTTGAAAACCAACGTACTGTCTATGTAAATACGGGAGAATGTTTTCTTGGACAGACCAGAAGCAGTGTATGGATCTCAGGAAGTATTTCAAGCAAATTTTTCACAACGAAGGGCCGAACAAGATATGCGAAGTCGAGGGCATCTTACTACAGTAACTGCGAGTACCTTCGACTCTGTGGCGATGTAAGCACAAACCCAGGGCCTCAGTCAACTAGAAGGATTTGTACGGAATGTGAATGGGTAGTAGCTCGAAATCATCGGGTTCCTTTCGCCGACGCAAGCCTAAATTCTAGCAACAGTTCGATTCTGGGCTCTGAATCCGGGGCAGAAGACGCAAACTCAGTCTGGGACGAATTTGACGAAATAGCAAAAAAATACCGAAAGAATCTCAAGATCGGACACGTAAATGCAAACAGCATTGGCGGTTTCAAGTTCCATGAAGTAAAGACCTGGCTGCTCTCTGGCAAGCTTGATATCCTTGTGATTTCTGAGACCAAGATTGAAGAGAGTTTTCCTGATAGTCAGTTTCAAATCGACGGTTATCGTTTGTGTCGAAACGATAGAAAGGCCGGCGGAGGAGGACTCATGATTTACGTGAGAAGTGATATCTACTTTGTGAGGGTCCARCAACTCAGTGGTCTATCTCCGGAACGTTGGTCTCGGTTTAGAACCGAATCAATTGTACTCAAGATTAAACTGGGCAAAACTTGGCTTGTTGTCGTTGGCATTTATAGACCTCCTTCGTTTCCCAAAACACAATGGACGGAGGAGCTTACACTTCTCTTTGAAGCTGTTTCTGCACT